AATGGGCAATGAAATATATATTTATGTACATTAGGTTAAAATAGAATGTTTAAGGCGTCAAGGTTTGTATGTTCCTGACTCGTCAGCATCAGGTAATTGAGAGGCTGCTCAATCTGGAACTAGAATTGATGGACCAATGGACTAACAATGACATATGTCACTTGCATAGGCTGCAGTTCACCCTTCAGCTTAGTATGCCCTCTGTTCCACCTCTAAGGAACAGGTAAAGTGACGTTTTGTTAATCTTAGTTGTTTCTGGCTCTCACATCCCTGTAATTCACCATGAATACCCCTATTACCGCTTTTGCCATAGTGAGACACAATCATATATGTGGTTTGCTGAAAAGAATTTTAGAAGTCAAGGAAAACTTGATGCGTTCAACAGACATTTATCTTCCCTTTAGGTTCAAAGAGAAACAAATTTTCTCCTTTTCCTTTGCTAATAAAATGTAAGATACTGTCCCAGGCAGATGCCCCTTGATTTATAGAGAACTACCTGTATAAAAGCCAGTATCATTCTAAACTCCTTGAAGAGATCATGTATTTCTTAGTTACTTTTATAACTCAGTGCCAACACATAGCAAAGACTCAATGTTTGTTGAATGAACAAATGAAAGAATAGGCTATCTAATCTTTTGAACTGAGAAATGTCTTTTGTTACATCCATATTATACTATTATGTATTGTTTATGCCCCCCCCCCCCCCCCAATTCACATATTGAAGCCTTAGTGTGCCTCTATTTGGAGATGGCATTTAAAAGGAATTAATTATGGTTAAATGAGGTCATTAAGGTTAAGTCTTTGATCTGACTGGATTGGTTTTATAAACAGACAAACCAGAAGGTTCTCTTGAAGCTCACACAAAAGAAATAAAACATCACTCAAACACACAGTGAGAAGGCAGCTTCTTATAACCCAAGAAAACAGGCCTTAGAATGAAACTTACCTTGTCAGGGTCTTGATCTTGGGACTTCCAGACTCTTGACCTATAAGAAAATTTTTGTTGTTTAAGTCACCCTGTCTGTGGCATTCTATTATAGCAGCCCAAGCAGACTCACATATGTTAATATATGTATACATAAAAATTATATACTTTGTCATATATATATTGTTTGCCAAAAGAAGCCTCAAAAGTAAGGGAATTTTGGTATGTCTAATAGATATTCCTTCCCCTTTAGCTTTCATGTAAAAATCATCTTTTCTTTGCTAACAAAATGTACAATATCATTATACACAGAAAAGCTTTGTTTTGTACAATTTTTTTCTCTCTTAAGTTCACAATCTACAGTCCAAACTTAAGATGGTTTTTATTTTGGTGTATTTAATAACAAACCCATAACTTGAGGGTGATTTAACAAATGGCCAGAGTCTTTGTGATTCTCTTCTCTCCTGTGTCACATTCTGTTTGCAAGATGATTGTGCAGGACCTCTGACCATCATCTGAGGTCAAAATGAAAAGGAAGTGGTGAGGCTATATCCATAGTATGCCTGCCTTCTTACAGGATGATTTCCTAAAAGCAACTAGTAGATTCCCATTTGTCTCATGGACCATAATTTTAACAGGCTCAAATCTATTTTTTAAGCTGAGAAAATGACATTTAGATTTTTATTCCTATCTTGGAGGTGGCAAAGCAGAAGAGGACTACAAAAAAATATCTGTTGGGTTAGCCAATGAACAGTGTCTGCTGCCTAAAGGAAACAGAAGTTTGGACTGGCAGCTGAGCTAATTCTGGAGAAAGTCTTCCAGGCTTAATAATCCAATGGAGGAGTTTTCACACTTCAGCAAAGGCCTCCCACTATAATGCGACTATTGTTAATACCACTTTGATTACAATTAGCTAGGCTGCAAACATTTTGTTAGGTATCTAAGGTTTATAGTCACTCTCACCAGTTGCTATTACAACAAAGAACTACCCATCATTTATTAAGCATACATTGGCTGCACTGTTTTTTGTTGTTCTGTGATTTTTCGTGCAAATGACAAACATAAGAAAGTGGCAAATGAGCTGTTGTAATTTGAGACTGGCTTAAACTATGGTCATATGACCATATTATGCTCTGGTCAAGAACCTCCCTACAGCTTATTATTCACCAGCATTTCTAAATTTGAACTCCGTATTCCTTGATCTCCCGGGCATTTTTGTTTTTCTTTTAAAGAACAGTTCACCTTTTTTGCAATCACTGGCTGGTGATGGTAACTGTTAGATCAAGTACCAGCTGTGATGAGTTGTCACCTAAGTATAGTCCAATATGTCACTCAAATCTTCATCAGGACAAAAATACATGTGTTCTAATGAAATAATTTAAATAAGGAAGATAATTGGAATTAAGAGAAAAATAACATAAAATAAAACTACAACTATTACTATAAAAACATAACCCATAAAATCCCACAAAGTAGCTGTAGGTGAACTACAATTTGGCTCAGAGCTGTCCAAAAGGCATTGTCTATTTTATTAGTACTGGAGATTGAACCCAGGGGTGTTTTGCCACTGAGCTACATCCTCAGACCTTTTGGAGATAGGGTCTCTCCTTGAGAGCTTGTTTGGAGGTTCTAGCAGGGGAGCGCAGCTACTCGTATACCCTTGACCGAAGAACGGTCCTCCTCTATCGGGGAAGGTCGTCCTCTTCGACCGAGCGCGCAGCTTCGGGAGGGACGCACATGGAGCGGTGAGGGAGGAAGGGGACACCCGCCTAGCCAGCCAGATCAGCCGAATCAACCCTGGCGATCAATGGGGTGACAGATGTCGCAGCCAGATCGCCCTCACATCCGAGATAGGGTCTCTCTAAATTGCTGAGGCTGGCTTGGAACTTGTGATCCTCCAGCCTCACCCACCATTGATGGGAAGTAATAGCATCTTTTTTTTTAAAAAAAAATTATTTTAATTAGGTATATATAACAGCAGAATGCATTTTGATTCATTGTACACAATTGCAGCACAACTTTACATTTCTAGTTTTACACGATGTAGCGTCACACCATATGTGTAGTCATATATGTACGTAGGGTAATGATGTCCATCTCATTCCACCATCTTTCCTACCACCATATATGTTGTCGAGGATGTGGGGGAAAAGGCACACTCATTCATTGCTAGTGGGACTGCAAATTGGAGCAACCAATCTGGAAAGCAGTATGGAGATTCCTTAGAAAACTTGGAACAGAACCACCATTTGACCCAGCTATCCCACTCCTTGGTCTAAACCCAAAGGACTTAAAATCAGCATACTAGCATCTTTAAGGTATTAGCATCTTTAAAATAAAAACAAATCAACTGTTTAGGAGAAGTATAGGTTTCACAACTACTGAGACCAAAGAGAATTGCCTCCTCTGAGTCCTCATAAAGGGTATACTGTGATATAACAGCTGCCAGCATTAAAAGCACATGCATTAAAAATATCAAGTTTTGATGATCAATTTCTCCTATCAGAAGTCAACAGCATCAAAACAAAGTGCAATGTAATAAAGGTATTTTTATGAAGAGCTAAAATATGGATCAAATATGTAGCTCTCTTTAAGATCTTCAGAGGATAAAATTGAGATTCATCTCTTTACCAGTAGGGCACCCAAAACTTCTTTCTTGTAAGTAATAAAATCCATTTCAAACCAGGAAAATGATTTTTAGATTTAAGGCCATTCTTCCCTTCTAATGCTACAGATAGCTGAACTAGATTACATACATTACATACAGTTTTCTCAATTAATGTTTGTTAAGTGGCTACTTCAGTGGACAGGTGAAATAAATTTTAAAATGTGAAGTTTTATGGTTGCACTACTATTATGTGAACTTAATTCTTAATAGTGTAAGTTTCAAGACTGCAAAAAGTATGTTTAATTTAGTTACATTTAACTTTTTTATTAATAATGATTACATATGAAGAGCATTGCACCTATTCACAAAGATTTTTCAAAGATATCAGTGATATAAAGTATAAGCTCATAAGGAAAATCAGACTCATTCCACATCTGTAAAATGCAGCAGCCTTTAAACATAATTCAATTTACAATAATTATAGGGAATAGGGAGGACACAGAAAGTGGAAGGGGAAAATGGTATTCAACTTCTGAACAACACAGCTACTGTTGTAATGAAAATATAATTTATTAACAAATATAATAATACTGGGAATAAAATGAATTATAAAAGTAAAAATAAGTCAATTCTAAATATAAATAATGGCGGTTTACCTAGTCAACAGAGTTACTCTTTACCCACCTAGAACTTTGTAAATACAAAGTTCTGAAAAGTCAGAATTTCAAAGTGTAAGGTTCCCTTTAAGATGTGTTGCGCTATAATCTCTGGAATTTGGCAAACATCATCTTGCTTTATTAGCCTCAAAATGGTATGTATAAATGACTTAACTTTTTAAGCTTTATGTAAACTCTAGAATAATAATTTTAAAATGAATAAGCAGTTTCATTTAATATATTCATTTCTGTCTCTAAGGATAATAAACACATTTCTAATACACTTTGTGGAAAATGTTCTGAGCAGAGCATATCTGTGCATTTTGAAAAGACTTTAAATTTTAGGTATGTTGGTAAAAAATAGTCTCCTTTTAAGATAAAAAGTTAACAAATAGCCACGGGATATGTTGATTTATGTCAGTAGAATTTTAAACAACTACATCTTAGTATGTACATTAAGACAATAATAAACTTTTAGTAAAGAGAAACAAATGGAGACTTATTCTATTTCCTTAGCAAATGTCTCTGGTTTGAGAAAGCTTATGAAGTTCCACATAACAACTGAGATTTCAAAATGCTAGCATGATTACAATGCATATTAACAGCAACATGCAAACCAGTAGAAACAAAAATAAATGACTAACTTCAGACTATAACAATGAAACAAGACATTTTAAATAACTGTACACAAAGCTGAAATAAGCATAAACATTTTTCAAAAGGCTGACTCACAAAACCTAGGAGATTTTTGTAATATGAAGGCACTACATAATTCTGCTAACTCCACTTACTAAAGAAATTTAAGTTACAATTAAACTTGGCACAAATGAGTTTAATTTTCATAAAGTGCATCACTTGGCTAAATACATTAAAAAGAAAATCAGCCATAACACAGCGTAACAACACCTTCACAGACACAGAAATAAAACCATAATGCCATGGGTTCAAGCCATTTAGGAAATCTGCAGTGTCTATGGCTTTCTGCTTTCTTTTTTTGTACAACTCCCAATTTCAAATATGTAGTGTATTTTCAAAAGAATATACCTTGATTAGCAAAGAGAGGTAGTGTTCTGAAAAAGGAAAACTCACTCAATCTACTGATAGAGATTTAAGATGATGATGTGGCAAATAAACTAGTCTAACATATCAATAAACTGGGACATTTATAAAATATTTACCAATGAATTCACTTTTAAAATCAAGGCTATTTTGTCACGTTAGCTATTATATGATTATAGCTCTTTAAATGTTTTCCTTTGGTACTAGAAAGTCATTCTCCTCTTTTAAATAGTATTAACATTTCAAATAAGGAATTTTTATTTGGAAATGGCAAACATGTCAACATTTAAAACTCAACTCATCTTTACCCTTACTGTGATGTTCACTGATTTAAGCCATTAATGAAAATATGTCATTTCAGAGATACAAAGAAGTATACATCACCCAGATAGTAACATGCAACTAATTTCCATTTGACTAATATAACTGTTGATTATACACACATACACACACACACACACACACACACACACACACACACACACGTCTGGAGCATTATACAGGCAAAACACCATAATAATTTATGTACAGTATTTAAGAATGTAGACCTTGATAACAGAATTCTAACTAGATTTTTTCAGTGTATTAAATACAAAGCTGAATAGAAGACAATTAAAAGCAGCAATGAATATATTTCCTATCCCAATAACTTAAAAAAACTTTTATGTAAACTTTATATATATACATTCTTGTTCTTTTCGTCAATGTTTCATAGTCCTTTTTTTCTTTTTAAATGGTATTTGCCACTCTATTCTAAATTTGCTGAAATGTTGAAATGGAGAGCTGCTTGTGTTTTGTATTAGTCTTCTTCAGCGTTATATGCCAATTCTGCTACTTCTATCTCTGAGGTGGCATTTTCAGGTTCACAGAAGCTTAGGTGTGGCTTACTATCAGCTCTGTAAAAAAAGAGAACCATATCAATGAAGGGATTGCCATTCCACTTTATTAACACCTCCCTTTTCTTCCCCCAGTGCTGGGGATCAAAACTAGGCCCTCATGCATGCTATGAAGGAACTCCACCACTTTGCCACATTCCCCAACCTTCATTTCTTTTTTTTATTATCTTTAAAAATTATTTACCTTGAGGAAATACTAAACATTCAATGTAAAAGTAATAAAATACTCCATTAAAAAAGACAGAAATTAGTATTTTTAAGTTGTAATTATCAGGTAACACGTTTGGAAATGTATATTGAAGTAAATATATAAATAAATGTATTTTAAACTCAGTTCTCCCAACTACCATTAACAATAAAAATTTACTTTGTTGTTACCATAACAAATAAAATTTGCTCTCATAATTATAGTTCAACAATTACCACTAAAGTATTGATGATTACCTTAGATATATATGTAATAAAAATTCTATGTACTTTCAAATATATTATCTTTCATCATTCTATTAAGGAGGCAGGGTGGTAGATATTATAGTATTCTATTTTTTGAATGAAAAGATTTACAAAACGAATTCCCTCTGTCAGAGGCCAGATATTTCAGGCATAGCTTTGAAAAAAAGCAATGAGAAAACACACAGGCTGATGGCAATTTTAGGGAGAACCTGGAACACCTATGGTCCGTTTGTTCAAAAGATGCAGGACACAATAATTCTGAGTGTATAAAGAATGCTCTTCAGAATATTAGAATTATTACTTAAATGATTAGGCTATAATAAACTAAATATTATATACCTAGATTCTTCATCCACGATATCTTGATCAACTTCAACTCCACAGGACTCCACTCGTAGGATCCGTCCACCTTCTACTCCTGATACATACAGTGATTCTTCAGCTTCTAAAGATAATGTTCTAAAGTATGTTACAGCAAAAAGTTATTTTATATAAATAAAATAGGTATAAAATAGTAATATGTTTATTCCTGTGAATACATGTAGCTTTAGTAGTCTTCAGTTGTTGCATCTAATGCAGTCACTTTGTCAATAAATTGCTCACCGTAAGAATCAACAGAGAAATTAGTAGTTAAAATTAAAAGGATTTTAAGCCTCAATTTGATATTTGCTGATGAGAAGGTAAATACGTAAGTAACCCAAGAAGGTTTTCATATGTGAAAAGTTGGCATATATGCCCAGAAATAAAGATACTACTTAGGTTACAACAAATAATGTTTATCTTTGTTGAACCACTAGAGGTTGATTTTCCTGATGTTCCCCATCCTACAAATGTTCAGCCTTCTAAATTAAATCAAAAGACAATTTATCCAATTTACAAAGAAGGAGGCCAAGATTCTGTGACTTTAAGAATCAGAAACTTCTGAGATCATTAGGGTATGTAGCCCAGAGTATTAGGAGTAGAATTATACTACAAAGGCAAGTATCACAACACACCTGATTCTGCTCTCTAAAGCATTTATGTGAAGTTGTTTCTCACTGAGCAGTTTCTTCAATGATTCCACCTCTTTTTGTTTTTCAAGTAGTTCCCTCTGTAAATGGTAATTAGTCTCTTCTAAAGTTTCACAGAAAGCCTTAAAAAATGCAGAAAGAGAATAAAATTAATTACTGATGCAGTATTTTTCTTAAGTGCATTACTGAAGAGTCAAGAAAACAGATCAAAATCACAAGTATATTTACTCTCTTAAAATTTACTCTCTATACTCATCTTTTTAGGTCTCTATTATCTTGGCTCTCTTAGTCCCTAAGTATAAGTCCCTTTTCTTTAGAATTATTATAGTAGTAAGCCAGTTAGACTGAAAGTGGCTATATATTTACAAATATATTAACAGATTTTTAGAAATCATGTTAGAATATTATGAACAGACTTATGCAAATATACATGAAATTTTCAATTTCTAGAAACATACAAATTATCAAAACCGACTAACTGAATCAATTGTCAATAATTCAGTTCATTAGTATGTTCTTTAGAAAATTCTGCTGGCGTCTGTTTGGAATTATAATACATTTACTGATAAATTTGGAAAGTATTACCTTCATACTATTGAATCTTCCTATCAATAGATCTTTGCTTATTTAAGTCTTCTTATGCCATCTTTACACATGCAAACAAAAGAATTAACCCCCCCCCCAACACAACCCCTATAACTTAGCAAAGGAGGAACAGAAGATAACTTCCTTAACATAAAAACAAAGAGAATAAACAATTTACAACCATCAATGGCTTACAGTAAACACCATATGCTAATGGTAAAATGTAGGATCATTTCCTTTAAAATTAGGAAGGGAGAAAAATGATAATGGCTTCAACTTAACTCCATGGATCTGTGCTAATACAATGAAATGAAAAATATTAAGGACTACAAAAGATAAAAACATAACTGTTAATATTGGAGGTGATATGACTAACTATACAGAAAATCCTAAAGGATCTATAAACTAAGAAAGTATTTCAGCAAGGATGTGCCATACAAAATAAATATATAAAATCAATAATGTAACAGTAATAATTTAGAATATAATAAAACACCAATTATGATATAAAAAATGCTAAGAATAAATCCTATGGCTTTTCTTAGAAGTTTAAGAAAAATATTAAACCTTTATTGAAGAACTTTAAAAGAAGACTTAAATAAGCAAAGATCTATTGATAGGAAGATTCAATACTATGAAGACAAAACCTTTCAAAATTAATAACTGTATTGTAATTCCAAACCAAATGCCAACAGGAGTTTTTAAGTTGATTCTAAAAGTCATATAGAAGAGTAAACAGCCAACTTTGAAGAGTAAGGAAGAAACTCCTTGATCTGCTTGATACCAAGATTATATATGAAGCTACAGTAATAAATACAGTCTAGGGATAAGAGACTATCTAGACAAAGCTGATTGGCCAAAAATAGTCACAATGAATGTTTTATGATTAAGGAAGAATTCCTAACTAGTTAAGGAAGGAGGAACATTTCCCTAAATGATATAGGGATGAATGGTCATCCATACAGAAAAAGCAAAGTCAATTAAAGGACCCAAGTGTGAAAAGTAGAAGTTTAAACCTATTAGAAAAAAAAATTAGGAGAGTATCTTTACATCATGGGTTTAGGGAAGGAAAAAAATCACAGAAAATATGACAAAGGATGGAAGAGGAAATTCACAGAAGTCCCAAAGAGCTACTAGATAGAAAAGTTTTGTAAGCCAGTTGGTAATCATGAAATAAAAGGCTGACAATATTCAGTATTAATGAAAACATGGGACAAGAGGAAAATATATTGTGAGTGAAAGTATAACAAATTTGGGAAGTAATTTAAACATGTCATGGCATATGTTTATACATGCACAACATATACAACAACCAAATGATTACACTCCTGAGTTGAATTATTTAGCGACTATTTATTAAGTTGTAAGGTATTTTTAAATAGTCCTTACATAAATTCTTGGGTTTCCTCCAATATTAAAAACCATTTAGTAAGGGGGTATTTCTTAGGGAAGATGTATGTAAGAGGAAGAAACTATTTTAGAATAGTTATTAGAAAAATGTGCTGATAGAACTATTTAGCTCTATTAATGAGACTATAAAAATGGCTTATATTCCTAGAAAACAAAAAATAAAAAAGATATATATAAATCTAATTAATTATATATATAAATCTAATTATTATAATGCTAATTAAAGGTGAATCTATGATGTATATAATTTTCTTCTGTGGCAGAGAGTAACTGTGCCTCAGAACTGGAAAAATCACCTAGCAAATGATCCTAACAATTGATTACATTAATTATCCTAATTCAGACTGTATTCTTTGCCTTTCTAAATTTCTCAAAATTAGGAACAAGAAAATCCAGCTCTCAACCTTTAGAATAACTGAAAATTGGAATTTGAGGAAAGAATAGAAGCTTTAATGATTTTAGCTTTAATTATCTGTATTCATAACATGTTTCTTTAAGATGATTTTTTATAATTCATTTCTAATTATAAGCTATTCATTAAAGCTAGTATACTAAGACTTCATTTTGTCCAATTATATTATCTCCATACAAATAATAGATTTCAATTTTTCCAAAGGAAGATAGAATAAATTTAGGTCCTTATCCTTAATCTTCTCTGTTCGGGTACATGAGAGGATAGAAATGACAGCCTTCAACAGGGAGTAAGAGAAGTAGGTTAGAGACAAGGTTTACTGGATTGAGGATTCCTTAGTCTTCAAATAAGCTCAATAATCCCACTCTAAGGGATGTAGATTAATAAATCATTTTGAATTTTTTCTTAAAATGAGAGGCTGCTTAAGGAAATACGCAGACTAAAGAGATATATCTCATTAAGATCACTAAATATTTTATTTTGAAAGAAAAGAACACAGAATTTCTTTAAATTTATAATGCAAATAAATCTGTGAGCTAGAAAAGAAATGATAAACAATAATCTTCTTTAGCCTAATGTACACTTAGAAATCTGACTTTCCAAACAAATTCTAGATTAACAATATGAACTGGAACAAAAGTGACCACATATTTCTGGGGAGAAAATATCACAGACTTAATTCAGGCAAGTTACTAAACAAACCCACATAATAAGAAAAATAATAATCACTCTAGGGGGCAGGAATCAGAATCAAGAATTGTTAGAATATATTACCTAAAATGTCTGGTATTTAACAAAAAATTATGTGACATGACAATAAACAATGTAAAACTAAACATATTCAACAGAATCCAAGCAGTCCATAGAAGCTGTATTTAAATAACTTCAAGCATTGGGTATATTAGACAATGGTTTGTAAAGTGGCTATTACATATCTTAAATGAACTAAAAGCAATAGAATTAAAGGTATTTAATACTTACTAAATATCAAATCTGAATAAAGAGAAAGAATATAATATAAAATAAGCAAATAAAAATTCTGGAGTTGAAAAATCCAGTAACTAGAATGAAAAATTAATAGGAGGGGCTCAACAGCAGATTTAACAGGACAGAAATATGAATCCCCAAAATTGTAGATCAACAGAAATTACCTAATCTTAAGAAAGGAGAAGAAAATAAATGAAAAATGATTGAAGAAATGAATAGGACTTCAGGAATATGTGGTAAGACATGAAGTATATCATGAAGTATACCAAGGAAAAAATGGATTGAAAAAATACTTGAAGAAATAATGGCTAACAAATTCCCAAGTCTGTTGTATAGCACTAACCTATCAAAACTAAGAGGCTTATTAAAGCCAAAGTGTCATAAATACAGAGTGTCACACCTTGATACATCATTACCAAATTCTTCTGTGAATCTAGCCTACTTCTTGAAGAAATAGGCCACTTTAACACGTCAACTGCTGATAGATATTGAAAGCAGCAAGGGCAAAATGACTCAGCAAGTATATGGAAACAATATAATTAAAGGTGGACTTTTCATTAGAACAAACAGAAACCCAAAGGAGGTAGAATGACACATTCAAAGTACTGGAAGAGGACCTATCTGTAAAACTATCACTCAAAAATGAATAAAGAAGGTATTAATGTTTGAGGGCACAAAACTCTCCTATGTTATTAGTAGGAATGCAACATAGTAGAGCAACTTTAGAAAACAGTCTTTGAGTTTCTTTAAAAAGGTAAACATAAGATTGCCATATGACCAAACAATCCTCCTCCCAAGGATCAAGTCAAGAGAAACAAAACTATTTCCACACAAAAGATTCTATGAAATTGTTCACAGCATTAGTCATAGTAAAACTGGAAACATCAATGTCCCTCAACCAGTAACTGTATAAACAAAATATAGTAATGAATACAATGAAAAACCATTCAATAATAAAAAGGAATGAAGTAATGATAGCCAGATGCAAAAGACTATATATACTGTATGATAATTACATACACACATCCACATCCACACATTCTGTATGATTCTATATATGAAATATCCAGGAAATATAACTTTGGAGAGACTAAAAGCAGGGTAAAGGTTGCCTTGAGCTGATTGCAAAAGCTTATAAGAATTTTTGTTTGAGGTGATGGGAATATGCTAAAACCAGATCATGGTGATGGTGGCATAGCTCTATAAATTTATAAAATACTATTAAATTTTACATTTATAATGGATAAGGAGCATATGAAGGGAGTTTTTGGATAAAGATCTTACTTCATTGATGCTGCTTTTTAAAAGCTACAGTATTCACACTAAAACACAAAGAACCGTCTCAGTTTAATCGAATACAACACTGCTAACCTATCAATTAAATCTGTTCCATTTAAATACCATTAAACATTTGGGGAAAAAACTTGCATAAAATGCAAGCTAATCTATTATTACCAAATCTTTCTGTGAATCTAGCCTACTCCTTGAAGAAATAGGCCACTTTAACACGTCAATTAATGTAATTTGAGTAGCATCAAGCATGAACTGAACTGATAACAAGACTATTACTTGTACTTCTGAAGATAAGTTTTAAATTTGATTTTAGCTGTAGGTTCTTTACTTGGATATGTGAATAGAAAAAACTCAGTAGGCAAATAATTCTATTAAATGTAGTAAAACAAAATTTCTAAGTTACTGTTTTTGAAACAGTTAAAGAAGACAGGATTTATTTTAGATCTTCATTGACTACATGATGCTTACGAATTTTAATTTTTTCACTGAACTAGGTCCATGCATTTCAAAGAAAGAAACCTTTGACTCAAACATTAAGAGCTTTCTGTGAAAAACTCTCATGGTCTGAAATGATAATATTTTGCTGCTTGCAAATCTAATTCAAGAAACAATGTAGTTATTGTACTGTATTATTTGTTCCTCTTCCATGTGATATATAATACAGCACTTACCCTGCTTTCTTCTAGGCTATCAAATGGACCTGGTGGATCATCCAGACAAAGAAATTCTCTCACTGCAAGGCTTTTCAAAGGTAAAAAAAATTAGCTGGGGTATAAATAAGTTTACAAAAGATAGCAAGAAGCAGAAGTTACTTTGAAGCTATATAGTATTCTAACCAAGTAGGTTTTGCTGATACACCAAAATAAGCAGTTGGTCATGTGTCTTAATATTAAGTAACAAAATACACATAACAATCTATGAAGGATACAAAATCTAAACCCATTTTCTAAGATCTTATAACATAACAAGAATCACAACTTTATTGCTACATACCAACTACAGGACATAAATAATTAGAATAATGGTATAAGAGACCAATCTAAGTAATGATTATTATTCTCAACTAGTAACAAAGTCATTATCCAGTTATGAATAAATATAGTTTCTAATTTATACTTCACTTGTTTTCCTTTGGTGGATGCTTCTAAATAACTAAAAAGCATTTACTCTGAAACAACTGAAAGATTGTCCTGAGGTTGTTTATTATGTTAATTTACTTAGTTTTAAAACAATGTTATTGTTTATACTTTGTATTTATCAGAAGTAGGTTAAGAAGGCAGATAACCAAAACATTTTTTCTTTTTACTGAATTTCTTTATAACAAAAATAGCTCCCCCTTCTACCAAGCAATTTTTGGAGTAATAAACGACTTTATGTGCATGTCAAAGCATAAATGTGCAGTCTTTATTTTTTCATTTATAAAAGATAAGATTACGATTGCTTGATGGGCTACATAAAGGAGATGACAACCTATGCTGAAAAGAGAATGGGACTTTTGAGTTCAGATTGTCAAGATAGGTTGATGATGATGGGAAGCTCAAAAAGAGATGAATGGGATTCTTAGTGAAATCTTTCTGAAAGAAAAATCAGTATGAACTAATATAGAGAAGTAGTGTTAAGAAAAATAATCCAGAAAATCCCAAAGACAGAACAAAGAAGAATATGGGAGGGTCTTATTTAATACATCAGAAGATGTCGCATTCAGAAAAGCATATTTTGGATTATAAATTTTAATAGCTTGATAAAAAAAGGATACACATTCAGGGAAACAAAGGATTTGTGGCTTCATAATAATAGAAGCGATCTTAAATGTGATCTAGTTCAATCAACCATAGTTTTTGTCCCTTTGACAGGCTCAGCCAAGAGTATACTGAAATATTGACAGAGATAATGGATACTCAACGTCTTTGGTTTTTTCATAAACCATCCCATGAGTGAATAATGCTGACAATTATTTCACTCCATATATATATATGAAATACAGTGTCTTTTCTCCCTGTAGCTTTTATTTATTGTATGTTAGTTCTGCTTTTTTCAGTAGGGGCATTTGGGCATTCAGAGCAAACCTAAGTCCTCTTTCACTTGGGAAGACTGAACATATGTCAAGAATGTCATCCCATTTCCTCTAACCTTCCATCTCCAAGAATCAGTAATGTTTTCACAGTATACTGTACACACAGAGCTTTCACATGCCCTATTTTAATTTTCATATCAATTATGTGAGGTTAGGATAGACACTGTATCTACAATTTACAAATAAAAGTTTAGAGAGGTAAAATGACTTGCCCAATGTCACACAATGCAAATGACAGAAACGAATCTTAAATCTGTCTTCTAATTGTAAATATGTGTCCTTTTCTACCTTTAAGTTCTTATAAGTGATGTTTTGGTTTAACTTCATTTTTTCTCCTTACACGTCACTTCTCTCAAACATACACAACTTGTCTGTATACCTTTTTAACTATGGCCTTTAGAATCTTTTAACTGGTTTAAGAGCACAGAGTAAAAATGGGACTATCACAGTCTTCTGGTATAGATAGTAATTTCATCCACCCAATATTTATATGGGAGTACCCACTATTAGATAAAAATGAAATAAGTTGATCTTGGGCTTGAGAGAACAAAAATGTGGACGAAGCACTGAGAAACCAGCATTTGGTATTGAAAGAAAAATATGCCAAGAAGAATATGGGAGAGTCTCGCTTAATATATCAGTATATGACAATCCAATGTGAGCCATTTTCATATAGGTCTATATTTAGATATCCTCATATTTTAATAATGTTGTTATGTTCACTAATCACTACAATTATTGGACTGCTGACAGAAAAGGAAAAGTGAGTAAAGCAGTAATGTATCTTTTTTCCTATCTTTAATTTACACTAGAAATTTGGCCAATATCAACAGTGATGATGACAGTGCTCCCTGCTGGAGGAATCTTTTTTTGGAGTGGTTGTTTTATTTCATTCTCCTCCCCCAAACATTTTTATGATTTCTGGCTCATGAGAGTTCTACTTAAATGAAATTCACTGGATTCCCTGACTTTTCTTCCATAAGTTCCAAGGTTATATTCCACACCCTACTTTAAATCTGAAGCATAAGAACATAATTTGAAACTGACTACAACTTTAATTTCCAGCCCACTTTTTCAGTGGTTCACTGTATTTTTTCTGCTTCAACAGGACGCAGAAGTTAACATCCTCACAGTATTCCTGTCCAAGAAGAGGACAAACAAAAATCTCTGAGGAAAATAGAATCTAAGAAAAGACTGAAACTGCAATACACTCTTATTTTCTTAGGAGAGAAGCTGTCACTGTTGCTTGAGAATCATTGACTTGGGAACTTTATTTAGATTCAATAACATCTACTGGTTGTTTAAAAGTGGCATGGGTCTACTTAGTGATTTTCTATACAGTATTAACACATGATTTATAAACAAGTCAAATGAATTCTAATAATACAGAAACACCAAAACATCTATATTAAATAATTGATGGATTAAATGGAAACATTTTATAAGAACCTTATTCTTTTTTTAAAAAACTGTTCACTGATAAGTTGAATATAGCCCCCTAATTTCTGTTCTATTCTATCCTTGCTTCTATCTGATCATGACAATGAATAGATGATAAAAATACCATGATAAGAGTGAAACCTATCTGGCTAAGGGGAAATCCAACAATCCTGAATTAAAAGGCAAGGAAGAGGGGTTGGGGTTGTGGCTCAGTGGTAGAGTGTTCGCCTACCATGTGCGAGGCCCTGGGTTCAATCCTCAGCACCACATAAAAATAAATAAAATAAAGGTATTGTGTCCAACTACAACTAAAAGATAAATATATTTTTTAAAAAAGGCAAGGAAGAATCATTATATCACTGAATTCCTCTTATTACCTGGATAGTATATCTGGGAAAACTATTTTAATAAAGCTAAGACCAGTTGTTAACTTAAACTGCCTGAAGATAATGGAGACCACAGGTGGTATCCTTCAGCATCATTTTTATTTTTAGAGCAAATCTTTACTACAGCTCTTTGATTCTCTTTAAAAAGTATTCTTTGAAAAAGTTTCACTGTATTTTCAAATTATGCTCCTAATAAACTAGCTCTATCTATTGAACATTCACTTTATATCTATTTTTTCCTTTCATAGACATGTATCTGTTTACACTTCAAATAATTCTTTTTGAAGTGTTAACAGCTTCATGTTTTTTTTTTTTTATCTCAAAGATTGTAATATAAAGAAGCTCCCAAAGCCAACGTCTACAATTCATTAAAAGTTCAGTTAAGAACTAAGTAAAAAATGTACTAAAAATACTAGATGTCAATTCTGCCAAAAGCAAATTAGGCACAAAAAGTCACTGCATAAAAACATTACAGAGGGATTTCAGATAGAAAATGTTCGATCAGTTAATACTTGTCTTCAGTTTTAAGAAAATAGCAAAAAAATATGAAGTACAACCTTGAAGATTAAGGGATCAAGGATCAAGGATCATGACTGGTAACAGATAGGGTAGCTACTCTAGTAAGAAGGAACAAAGCCAAACTCTTATTAGAGTTGGCATAAAGCACCTGCTTACATTCATATTTAACTTTCTGATTTGACATATCAGCAAGAGTACATCCTCACATTTGTAATGCTGTCCATGCTTCCATGCTGTTACCATGCTGTCTATCATCCTGGCCCATTCTTCCTCCCTCTACCTGGTATTCTTACTCTTCAAGATTCAGCTTATCTAATAGCTATTCAAGAAAGCCTTGCTGGCTAAATCCCTTTTCTCTGCTTCTTGTATGTACTACCACCATAGCACCTTCATAAGACTTATGCTGTACTACTAGTATTCTGTGTTTACCAAGAAATCTGTTCCAATGAAAGGTAGATGACAGGTTCCTTGACTGCACAGATTATATCCAAATCAACAGTAGAGCACAAAATAAGCATTCACCAAACAATAAATTCATTAAAATGAATCTATTAAAAATATCAGAACAAATCTGTATCCAGTAGTATAAGCACTATAGACAATTATCAAACAGGAGATAAATTTAGTTTTCAAGAGAAACTCCTACTTTTTGTGAAAGATCAAAGTCTTAAGTATTAAAGATTAGAATCTGATTGCTGCTGATGCTCTAATTTCAAGATACACAAATATTCATGAGGAAGCACAACAAAATGAATAGGATGTAAGAAATCTGGAGTTGAAAGATTTTTTTTTTTTTTAGAGGACACCTAGCCCAAATGTCTTATTTTGCAAATGAAAACACTAATTAAAATTAATTAAGCAATCTGCCTTAAATTATTTGCTACTAAGCCCAGAAAAAGGTTTTATATAAGGTCTCTGAGGTTCCATTTCATTAGGTTATAGTCTAATTATTGTCCATAATTTTCTTTCTACCAAACTAACATTTTGTGGCAAAAATCATTCAACCAACCTTAACAATAATGTGTTGATTCTTATGAGATGACATTATATAACTGAATTTTTCTTTCATTTTATAAAAATATTAAGATCTACCCAATTTTTCTTGGTAATATATTTACATCCAAAACAACTCAGAGACATAAACAATAAAACTTCTTGTGAGTAGATAATTTGGACTGAAATGTAAAAGTAGTTAAGTTTTCTTCTTCATGAAATATAGAATTATTAATTTTTTTAAGCTAGGAGAGATTAAGTTGTCATCTAATCAAATGAATCCCATTTAATCATTCTCTCTTTAATACCACTGAGAATTATCTACCCTCTTCTAATACTTCAGGTAAGTAGGGACTCAGTTTTTAAAAAGGCAGGACATGCTTACATTGGACAGCTTGAAATGACAGTCCCTTCTGTCTTATTTGAGCTGACGGTGCCCTTCTCCTAACCCCTCACTGTCATTTCTAGTTCTATGGGTCGATTGTTTCAGACTCATATCTATCTTCCTACCCATAATCTCAATCCAATCTTTTAGGCTCTCAAATCCTACTCCTACTATGGGTATTACTTGATAATCACAAATAGCAGTAATCTCTCCCTTCTCTGAGTTTCTACCATTTTTATAATCCATATCATAAAAATCAGCAATTCATAAACTCCCTTCTGTTTGAACAGAAGCCTAATATTTCTAAATGAATTTTAAGACCAATGAGTATATCCCCTCTGATTTTATATAGGGCATGATACAGAGCAAATGCTTAACATACAGGTGATTGATGCTTCCTCTCCTCCCTCTTTTCAGTGCTAAATCACTTTAAAAAGAAACTTCTTATAATGAGAAAAAAAAAAATGCAACCTATCAATCATAAGAAAGAAAGTGGATAAAGTACCACAATCAAGGCATAAGTATAATAAGAATTTTATTTTGAATTCAATTTAAGTTTTCTTACTAGATTTCCTAAATGTCTGGTGATATATGACAAAAATAGGTAAGCCAATAAATGGGAGGCCCACTAGGTTCTTTTATGTGAGACTTTTTAGAATCTTTAATACACTAAGTTTATTAAATAAAACCTTTTTCCAGCTGATTTGGTCAAGAAAACTTTCTTTTCCTGAAATGCTTATTTATAAATTCAACATGACCACTACCAATGTTCTGAAGTACACAGTTTTACAAACATCATGATCTTTAATGTTGCCATCAATGTCTAACATAATTGAACTCTACTCTTAATCATTAAAAAAGTACGTCTGAATATTTAAGAAAGATACATTTTTGCTACTTAAAAAATGAAGCAATCAATAAATGAGTTACTTAATGTGGTTCATATCATTTAAAATTTGATTAGTAAAAATAGAGTACAGTCATTCATAGAATAAGTATTTTCAGCACAAAGATATAAAGGTTTATTGAATAAAGGAGAAAAGGGATAGGATGCACTGACTTCTTTGTAAAAGTTTTCTTTTATGGTACAGTATAAAGTATTTCTTCTTCAAAGACATTCTCTATGATTTTAATGCTTGTTAACTTTTATTACTGTATTATGTGCCTGCATTAAAAATATTTTTTTTTATTTTGAGAATATTTACAAAATATATAAAAAAAATAGGTATTACTTAGTTCTCACCACCTAGATCACACACACAACTGCCAAGTATGCCATACTTGCTTCAATTTTTTTTTCTAATAAGTAGTACAATAGTGAATATCAACAGTTCTCTCATTGGAAAACTACTTATTGAGAACTGGCGTGTTAGCCCTGTGCTAAGTGAGACACTGGAGAATAAAATAGTCACATGACCTGGTGCTATGTATCTTACAATCTGGTAAGATAAACACAACCAAATAATCACAGATGTAACTACAAACTAAAGTATTTGAGAGTCATATACCAACCAGCCTTTCAACTGGTATTCCATGAGAGAATTAAATCCTACTTAAGTTATTATTTTCTCAATTTTTAAGACTGTCACATAGCTAGTAACATCCCAGGAGCGTAAGAGAAATTAATTAACTCATTACATACAATCAGTGTCTCAAGGAGGTGACTCCCAAGCTAGTGAAGAAGGGCTGGAATAGGCAGTGAAAAAAAGAGAGAAAATGACCTAGTCTTTGGTAGTGATGGGCAAGAGGTCAGTCAGGAAGGCCAGTTACCTTAAGTCATAAAGGTTGTGGTGAAATCTGAAGGATGTATTAAAGTTACTTAGGCCAGGGGTAGGTAGGATAGTAGTGTGAAATATTGACTTTCTAGGGAATAGCAAATTTGAAGGACAAAGGAGCAAGGTGATTTTGGAGAAAGAAAAAGATGATTAATATGGCACAGAGAAAGAGAATGAGGAATGGGGAGGAATAGTAACATTTGAAGTTGGAAAGACAGACAGGTAGGTAGGGACCAGAAGTGTTTTATAACTATATTATAAAAGATTTCTGAAAGGGGGTGAGGAAGACCAGTGGGAAGATTTCTAGAGTAATTAAGGCAAAAATACCTGCTTGGATTGGGTGTTAATGGCATCAATGGAGAAAAGCAGACATGTTTGAGTGGGACCTAAAACATAAAGGAAGGGATATAAGTAGATCCTGCAGATCTGGTAGGCGATGCTGAAAATTGGGTGAAAACAGTCTGGAGACTGCTTTTAAGTTTATTTTAGGTTTGAGGTAAATTTTGAGAAATCTGAGGAAGATGTCACAGAGATTGCTGCACATATACATCTGGAGCAGAGAGAAGGGGGTCTGGCTTGTAATTTATTATTAAAAGGAAAAAGAGCCATTAAGCTTAGGCAGCTCACATTGAAAAGCAAGCTTCTTATGTACAGGGTTTGTGTCTTATGTACAACACAAGGCAATATACATAAAGACAAACTGAGAAAACGGTAGAAAAAGAGTTTCATCTTTCTGAGAAAAACTGCTAGAGAGTCACAGACATATAAGATACGCTATTATAAATATTCTCTACATTTTTCTAAAATTTAATTCTAATTTATCTGAAGTCCCCAAATGAGCGACCTAGCTGATATTAAAGCAGTAAGAAATTTTCTTACAAATATATTCAGAATTGACTAATATAATTTAATTTAATGATCATAAAAATGCTAAATATTAAAATCAAGTTGATAGTTGGGTAGCTTGGTATGAGTATATAGTGAACTAAATTTTTTACCTCACTGACTTTGCAAAAGCTTTAATAAAAATGAAATGCCAAATAAAATCCTTAATTGAAAGAAAATCCCATGTAGAACTTTATTTTAGAAGACAAGTAATTATATTCCTTCTCTATATTATGTGCTTAACTAAGTATGGTCCTATTTTTATTCTTTAGTTTAAATCAGTTGTTGAAATGCTTTCATAATTTCTTATTTTAATTTGTTACATACCAGTTAGCAATGTCCTTGTGAGCTACTAAATTTTGAAGAAATGCTTGTAATCCTAATTGTCTATCTTCTAAAAAGTCGACATTATAGTTATCTTTAAACCAGCGTTTTGGTGGAAGTGCTAATCGAAAGCCTGGAAACATCTCTTTTAGCTGAAAGAGAAAGAGAAAATACAATGTTTAGTTGAATTATATTAATTCTAGAAAGTACATTTTGTTCATTATATGAAATTATTCATGAAGAAAGCTTAAAATAATGAAATCCAGCTAAGTTTTTTGTGCCTTATTTCTCTTCTTGATTTCTACCAGTCCTGTGTACAAATGTGTTTCAGTTGCTCCACATTCTTGCTTGAAGCTGGCACTGTCCATCTGTTTAATATCAGCCATTCCAGTGGGTGTGCAGTATTTCAATGTGGTATTTCTTTATTACATTTCTTTATTTGCCCCTCTTTATTGATAGCAATGTGGAATATCTTCTCATTTTCTTATTTATATGCATATATCTTCCTGGTGATTATCTATTAAAATCTTTCTAGCTCATTCCCCTTTTAAAATCTTGGGTTGTCTTTTTAGTAAGTGCCAGGAGTTCTTTATATATAATCCACATACAAGTATTTGTACTACAAATATTTTCCCTCAGACTGTGGCCTGATTTTTCATTTTGACAGTCTTACCAGAGCTGATGTTTTACATTTTAATGTTATCTAATTTGTCCATTTTTCCTTTTAGGGTTGGGGATGTAGCTCAGTGGTAGAGTGCTTACCTAGCATGTTTCAGGTCCTGGGTTGCATCCCTACCACAAAAACAAACAAACAAACAAACAAACCAACCAACCAACCAACCATACCCACATACAACCTGACTCTCCCCCATTTTTTCTTTATGGCTTATGCTTTTAGATCATGGGAAATTTTTGCTCATTCCAAGGCTGCAAAGATTTTCTTCTTAAAAGTTTATAGCTTTAACTTTTATATTTTGGTTTATTGTCTATTTTTCTACATATTTAGCTTAAAATTTACTTCCTTAGGGAAGATTTACACAATCAGGTTATCTACTTTTATATACTCTGTTCAAGTTACTTTAACTGTGGTGGCACATAATCTCAAAACTTAGTGGTTAAAAAAATTATTTATTAAACTCATGGAGTCAGTGTGCCTGTAATTCATTCATACAAGGTACAGTGAGGATGATTTATCTCTGTTCTACAATGAATTGGGGCCACACTTGGGAGATTTAAAAGCTGGAAGCTGGAATTGTCATACACATGTATGATACTGGTTGTTGAAACCTTAGCTAGGGCTATCAGCCATAAGCCTAGCAATGGCCTCTTTGGATGGCCTGGACTTTTTCACAGCATGGAGGTTAGGCTTCAAAGGGGAGCATCCCAAGAGAGAAAGTCAAGATGAAATTATATACTTCATATGATCCAACCTTTAAACTCATAGAGCATAATTTCTGCTGTCTTCTATTGTTTCATTCAGGTTAAATGAAGGGGGAAGTAGATTATATTTCTTAACAGGCCTTGGCAAGATTCTGGAAGAGCATATGAACTGAGGACATTGTTGTGGCCATTTTTTGGAAAGACATTCTGCCACACATTGTCAAGTCATTAATATGTTTTTTAATGGTATCTATCACATGTAAATAATACTTATTTAATTTGGAATTCTCTTAGTAAATGTTGCCTCCACACTGGAATCTTTCAAGGAGTTTTAAAAAAGTATGAATGATTGTATTCTGCTTCTGACAGCTGGAGTGTGACCTGGGCACCATGATTTTAAAAAGCTTTCCCAGGGAGTCCAAAGTGTCATAAAGATTCAGAACCATTACTACACTGTAATTAATATAGCTGCATCCTCAATGTCCACCATCATGCCTGCTATAAAAAAAGTAGTCAATACTATATGTTCAATAAATGGATGAAATAAATCTATAAACATTCACATTTTTATATTTAAAGCTAAATATTACAACTATAAAAGGGAAAAAGTCCACACAGGATAAAACGTTAAGTAAAAATGTAAAATAACATTTTACATTTATACAAGTATGTGAAGTTACATGTGGGTAATATCCAAGTCTGGCCCTGATAGTCTATATAAACTTGGTTCATTTTAACAATGAACTGATGATGATTTTGCTCCTTCCCTCACTTTGCTCTGTGGACTGGGCTGAAAATACTCATTCTACATACAGAAGTGTTCAGCTTTGACATGCTGCTGTGATTTGTAAGTAAAAAAATACCGAGTTCTAAAACACCCACTTCTCATGGCTATATGTCTGTAACCAATTAATCACCAGCCTACTCTATAACTCTGCCTGGTCACCTCAATTCAGGTAAAGATACACATTAGAACTTGTTTGGGAATTTGCCTTCTGACTTACTTAGCAGAGAAGCTAAGCAAGACTATAACTCAAGAAATTAAAAAATAAATAAATAAACAGAAAGGGGAAAAAAAAGCCCTCTCAATTTTCTATAGGAAATTTTTCTTTCTAACCAGTGTTATTTGAATTATGCTCAAAAATTTTCATAACTTCAATTAGCTATTTTTTCTTCACAACTATAAATGAGAAATGTAGGCTCCTTAAAGTCAGGAGCATATTTATACAGTTTCTATGTTATCTAATATTTCTAGGACAATGCTGAGCTCAAGCTACTCGTTTCATAAAAATTTCATGATTGATCTTATAAAAGACTGGCATTTTTGAATCCTGCCAATGAAAGTAGGTGATGGATAGAGGTCTTTCTGGTATCTATAATAATCCTCCTCTATCTACAGTTTTCCTTTTTGTGGTTTCAATTCCCCAGTCAACTGTGATCCAAAAATATTAAGTGGGAAATTCCATGAATATAAATTTATAAATTTTAAGAGAGAAAAGTCAAGATGAGATTATATACATTATGTGCTATTCTGAGTAGCATGATGAAATCTTGCACAATCCTGCTCCAGCGAGGTGCAAATCTACTCTTTGTCCAATGTATCCATCCTTTATATGCCACTTGCCTGCCTGTTAAGTCATTTGTTAGTCCTCATGGTATCAACTGTTGTGGTATTACAATACTTTTAAGAAACTCTCATATCGTGGATTAATGCTACCTAACCATGTCTATCTCATTTACTTCACTTTATTTTCATCTCATGTCAGCATAATATCATCTTACATAATCATCAGAAGAGTAAGTATAATACAGTAAGATATTTTGAGAGAAAGAGATCATATGCATGTAACTTTATTATAGTATACAATCATAATTGTGCTATTTTATATTAGTTTTCATTAAGTTTTTACCATGCTTTATTTATAAAACTTTATCATAGCTATGACTATAATAGGAAAAACAATATTTATAGGGTTTGGTACTATCTGTAGTATCAGGCATCTGCTGGAGTCCTGAAATGTATCCTCAGAGGATAAGGGTTGCTACTAAGACTGATACAGACATTTATTAATGGGTTAAGTTACCTAAATCTCAGCTTCCCTAAGACAAGCCTTTGAGCAAAACAGGTCAATCTAGAGAGAGAAAGAGAAGTAAACACTAAATAATAGTTGAGTCCTGAAAAGAAAAATAATGTTATAAAGGATTAAATAGCTCTGAGCTGAAAATGTTTGAAATTAGTTTGAGTGACAAAATGACAATTTTGTAAGAACCCTAAGAATTCCATTTAAGTATCTGATAACTGATGAACTGCTTTTATCTTCTTTTTATTTAGTTATTAAAGAAGCACAGAATTATAGAATCTTAATTCATTCGCGTAATATATGAAGCTCAGGAATAAGAAAATTCAGATAAATGGTAGAAATACATTAGAAATAAACTTTAAATATTCTGTCACATAGGTTAAACATCAAAATGTTTGTGACCAAAAGTGGTTCAGACTTCAGACTTTTTCATATTTTGGAATACTTGCATATATACAATGAGATATCTTGGGGATGGACCCATGTATAAATATGAAATTCATTTATGTCTCACATACATATATAAATATGTATTTATATCTTATATAAATATAGCCTAAAGATAATTTTATATAATATTTTTAGTGCACTTTGCACTTTGATTATGACCTGCCACATGAAGTCAGATGTGGAATTTTTTTGCTTGTAGTGTCATATCAGTAAAAGTTTAGAATTTTTGGAGCATTTTGCAATTTGGATTTTCAGAGTAGAGATGTTGAATCTGTACTAAAAAAGGGCATCCTAAGCACACTTAATAAAGGATAAAATAGTTTAGCATTCTATATTTTACTTTTTCATTTAAACTGAGGTTTTCACAGCAGCAGAAACTTTCTAGCAGGCAGTTGCTAACTCATATAAATCGACATTCCCAGCACAAAACATTATAAGAATATACTAACTTTTGAAGTTTTGAGTAGTTCATGAAAAGGGTAAAGAGAGGATGGAAAATGAGAGAGAATAAGACCAATAGAGCTTCCTCTACTACACACCAGTCAAAATTGGGGAATGATTTCCAGATGTTCTAAGGTTATCTTATTTAGCCTCTTAAAAGCATCATAAATCACTTGCTTCTTGTAAAAAAAAAATGATTTTTTTCTTGGCTTCCAAAATGTCAATTACCCCACCACCTACCCCATCTGGTTTTCCTTCAAGCTTTGTGGATAGCTCTGCTCTTTATTACATTCTAATTTCAATTTACTTAATTCCTCACTGTGAGAAATTTAGGAATCAAAAACAAATAGAACACAAACAAAATCATCATAAACCATATGCTAAGTATACTTAGAACTAAGCCTTTCCCATATTCATGACTGGTTACATAGGATTCCTAGAAATGATTACTGCATCAAAATTATGCAAAAGTTAATGGAGTCCTCTAGGAAGATTTGCATTTCCAATGCTGAATGATATCATTTAAACGTCTTTCAATTTGACAGGGGAAATAGTTTTGTATTTTTCTTTTCTTGAAGTAGTTGTAAATTTTTCAGAATTTATTGGTCACTCATATTTCTTCTGTGAATTACCTTGTTCATATCATTTTAATATTTTTTTCTTTTGGGCCCACTTTTTATTTTTAAGGGTTCTTAATATATCAAGATTCATTATTATCCTGTTTCATATGTGTAGTAGGCAGAATTCTAGATGGCTTTATGACCTTTGCCTCTGGTATTGCTCTTGTGATTTTGTTATGTTATAGAGCTAAAGGTGTTTTGCAGCTGTAATTAAGGTTACTAATCAGTTGACCTTAAGACAGGCAGATTATCTGGTTGAGTCTAATTTCATAACTTGAGACTTTTACAGTGTCTTCTCTGGCTTGTGGCAGAAGAGAAAGTTGGAGAGATTCAAATCATAAGGACTTGTGTTACTGTTGCTGGCTTTGAAGACACACAAGGAATGGAAATTAGTCTCTATGAGGTAAGAATTACCTCTGGCTGTCAGCCAGCAAGGAAACAGGGACTTTAATCCAATATCTTCAAGAAACTAAATTCTGCCCACAAGTTCAATAAACCTGGAAGCTGAGTCTTCCCTAGATACTCTAGATAAGAGCCTAGCCCAGTCAAAAGCTTGATTTTGAGTTTGCTTAAAACTAAAAAGCAAATCAAGCTGAACCCACCTAAATTACTAAATAATAAATGAGTGTGATTTTTAAGTAACAAGGTTTATAATAACAGGAGACAGGAATAGCACTAATGCAATATGTTAAAATATTTTTTTATTCTTATAGTAATGATTTTATAAGTTCTGATCTTATTATATAGATCTTTGTCAAACTTACATGATTACATAAATACTTTTATATATTATAGATAGAAGTTAAGGCTATTATAGTAAAATGAAACAATTTTCTTATGAATTAGTAAAGATTTACTTGAATCACATAATTAACAAGGAAAAAACATAAAAATATAATAGATGTACAAGGAACATATAACTCCATTGAAAAGGCAAGTTGGGATTTATTAAAGTACTTACTTTGTCATTAAGCCTAGAGAAGTCAGTGTATCTTCTGAAAACTACCCAACTCTCTTCTGGGGTTTTCTTTACAAGTATTTTATACACCTACAGAAAGTTAGAAAGAATTAGATTAAAAAAAAGTAAAAGTATTCAAACCTAATATATTAAAAACTTGAACTTGAGAAAACAAACTGTAACAATTATTACCCAAAAAATATGAGAAACCATTTAGATAGTCAAAAATACATAATAATCATCAATGGAGACACCAAAGCCAAAGTTTTTCCTTAAGAAAATCAAAATGATAAACTTGAGACAAAGGCTTCCTCTGTGCACAGTAATAACAATGAACTCACCAGCCTCTAAAATGTTTTATGCCAACATACGCATTCTAAAATTGATAAATAATCAATAATGCTTAAAAAGAAGTGTTCTGAACTAATTTAATTTCTAAACCCAATAATCTATATAGCTAATTATTCAAATAAGTTTTATAATGCTTTAATTTTCAAGGCTGAAATATAAGGTTGAAATATTAAAAAACCCATATCAACGGTTTACAAAACTGCACATAATAACAATTATGCACAATGATCTAGGATATTGCATAGAAAAACATAATTAAATCAAGGCAACATATTTTTTAAAAGAATATAACAAGAAAAATATAGATTCTATTTTTTTAAAAAGTATAATTTTATAATTTATTATAAGGAAGTATGTAAGAAAATCACAGAGAAACATCTAGTAGATTTTGGTGCTATAGGCTATATTAAGGTAACAAATAAGTACTAGGTATTTGTTGAATGAGTGAACTCTTAATAAGAGTAATTCTTTTATTGAAATCTGTTATGCAATAATTCTCTAGAGTTATGCTTTAGTCACATGTGTCTACTCAGTATTTGAATGTGACTAGTCCAAACTGGCATGTACTCTGAGTGCAAATACTTACCTGATTTCAAAGACTTAGTGGGAAAAAAGATGTAAACATCTTTACTGAAATTCTTTTATATTGATTACACATTGAGGTGATAATATTTTGGGACATATTAAGTTGCATAAAATATCTTATTAAAATAATTTTACCTGTTTCTTTTTAGTGTTTAACTCAGTTACTAGAAAATCTAAAATTACAAATGTGAGTCACAAGTGTGGTTCACATCATACATCGACTAGCCAGTTCTCCTCTAGAGATAAGTCCTTATTTAAGGACTGCAGACTGTTTTTACTATTTGATTTCCTCCCCTCCCATACAGACTGTATTTTCAGATTTTAAATGGAAAAAGCAGCAAGAGTTAAGGATATATCTTTTGCTTTGAAGTAATTGTCTTTCTAAAATATAAGAGTAGAAAATAAAAATCCCTAAATAGATACCCTTTTAAAGTCTGCAAAAAGTCCTGACCTAAGATAGTCACAATGGAGATACAAAAGAAACATTATTTTCACTCATTAAGACAAAAAAAAGATAAATTAATTTGATTTTTTCCCCTTTGCAGTACTAGGGCCTTCCAAATACCCTAGGCAAGCACTATATCACCGAGCCATATCCCCAGTCCCAATTCAGTTAGTATGAATAACTAATGAATGATAAAAATCAACTTCATGTCTACAAATCCACGACTTTATTTTCCTATTTTAGAAACTACTGCCCTGTCCCTCAACTACGCTATTCCTTACTCTGACTCCTGAATACTGCTATTCTCTAAGAAAGACATAGACCTTTGTGTTTTCTTTTCTAGAAAGCATTCTTTCTACCTTTCTCTACTTGTTTAAGTAATGCTTTCAGTGAAAACTTTATGTACTCAAACTTTGCGTTCTAAAAGTAGTTACCACTATGCTATTCAAAACAGCGTATACAACTTTGTACTATCTTTTATGTAGTCCTTGTTTGGACTTTTAAGTGAATTATAACATACAGAAGCACATAGTAAATTACAAAATATATATATAAAAGTACATAAACCTTAAGAATGCAATTTGATGTATTTTCATAAGTGAACATACCCATGTAACTAGTACCAAGAGCAAAAAACATTACCAACTAAAGAAGCCCTTAGGGCCTTTTTTCTAATCATAATCATCACTCATCCTAATTACTTTGTTTTTAAACATCCCTGGAAACACTATTGATACTCTACATATTGTCAGATCTCAATAGTCAGTCCTATACTGTCTTCATTAAAAGATCACTTCAAAGGTACAGTTGTAGTCATGTGCCCGCCTATAATCCCAGCAATTTGGGAGGCTGAAGCAGGAGGACAGCAAATTCCAGGCCAGCCTCAGCAATTTAGCAAGACCCTCTCTCAAAATAAGCAAAGCAAACATAATTAAAAGGACTAGGGATGTAGCTCAGTTGTAAGCACTCCTGGGTTCAACCCCCAATTAAAAAAAAAAAAAAAGTTCTTGGAAAAAATTATTTTGTAAATCTAAGGCTCCCAAGCTTGGTATCTGCAACCCAGACTTCTCCCCTAAACACAATTTACATATTTACACACAAAAAACTGGGGATGTGGCTCAGTGGTAGAGCACAGCATGCTAGGTTCAGTCCCTAGCATCACAAAACCAAAAAATAAACACATAAATAAACACATAACCCTATCTCCTCAAAAAAACACCTTTTCAAAACACCTTCATTTTATGTACAGTGAAATCCAAAGTCCTTACAACAGCCTATTCAATGTAACTAATCCTTGTCACACTCCCCTGCCTTTCCCAGTTATCTCACTTCCTTTATCTCTCCTCTGTTGTTTACTCTGCTGTCAGCCATAAGGGTCTCTGTAGACCTCTCATCTGTATGGAAAGCTCTTTCGCCAGATAGTCTCATTTCTCACTCCCTGTTAGTAGTAACATCTTTTCTATGAGGCCAAGAGTGACAACCCTATTTAAATCCAAACCCCAGCTTCAGGGAAATTCCTTGTCATTCCTCTTCTGTTTCTCATTACTTATCGCCAAGTGACATACCAGCAGTCTTTTTATTTACTTTTTAATTATTCATTCATGTTGCTATACCATGCTTACCAGGAACAGTATCTGGCACATAACAGGTAATCAAACAATGGTGAGTTAGTGAATGAATGAACATGACTAATCTGTCTTCCTCTATATTATAAAAAAGTCTTTATATATCACTGCTTTAAATAAGATTGCAAATTTGCATTTTCACATGTCACCTGTTTAGTTTGTTTGGGCTGCTATTAACAACACATCAAAACTGGATGGCTTATGAATAACATAAATTATCTCTCATAGAGACTAGGAAGTCCAACTTCCAGAAGCTATCACCTACTCTCTGATTCAGAGATGGTGTCTTATAGTTGTATCTTCAGAGGACACACAAGGCAGCTCTCTCTTTTGTAAGGGGACTAATCCTATTCATGAGGGCTCTGCCCCCATGATCTAATCACTTCACAAAGGCCCTGCTTCTTACTGCTGTCATCTTAGAGGTTAGGTTTTCAACATACAAATTTTTGGGGGACACAAACATTTACTCCACAGCATTACCTCAATGAATGCTCATTGTTTCATAAGGAAGGGAAGACAATGTAAAGAAATGAGCCATCAGTTTATTATAATTTCTAAAACTGCCTTCCAAAAGAGATAGTTCCAGGCAGATTCCCCATCATATCACCGGTTTTATAGTTCTAAAGCTCTCTCTTTGTAAATAATGTCAATACATTTTCCTAGATGCCCTCTTATCCTGGCATAAATTTACATAAAATTTTACTGCAAGAAAATCCAAAGAAACAAATTTTGACCTCATAAGTGAGTTTAGCAAGGTTGATGGATATACATAAACATACACAGGTCCAAATACATGTACATAAAAAGGTCAAAATATACAAATCAGTAATGAACAAATAAAAAAAATATCTCTTACAAGGGCATCAAACATTACCAGAAATAAATCTAACCAAAAGAAGAAACACTTCTGCACTGAATCTACAAAACGTTATTAGAAGAAATGAAAGTCAATGGATTATGTTCATAGATTTGAGGACTCCCTATTGTAAAGTTGTCTGTTATCCCCCAGGTTTATTTATAGACTTAACAAAATCTCAATGCAAAGAGCCAAGAATGTCCAAGGTGATCCATAATGATGATAATAATAAAACTAGAGTACTTAAAACTATTAAGTATCAAGAACTATTATAAAGAATCACTAATTAGTATTGTGGAATTAGTAAATATAGGAAAACAGAACACGGAAGCCAACCCGTACATTTATGATCACATGATTTATGATGCAAGCAAAACTGTAGAGGCAGAGAGCAAGAGTGGTCTTTTTAACATAAGCCTGATTAATTGATTCCATATAGAAAAAACCAAAAATGACCAGACAAAAATCAATTCCAGACAGTTTGCAAATCTAAATGTTAAAGGCCCAGTAAAAATAGCTTACAGAAAAATACATGGAACAATATAATTATAACTTTGCAGTAGGTAAAGTTTCAAAAAGTGCTAGCCATAAAAGAAAATATTAATAAATTAGACTCAAATTAAGATCTTTCAGTTATAAAAATGGAGAAGACTTCCCCAAAGAAAAAGGAACAAAATAAAAATTTTCTTGGCCATTTGAATATTAACAATCTTTAAATTAGTCATTAAAAACATTCAAACTACAATGTCTTATTCTACACAAACCAGAATAGGTTAAAAAAAAAAAAAAAAAGATGGGAAAAGCACATGTGGAAAGGTGTAGAACAATTAGAAATCAGATACACTGCTTTTAATACAGATATGTACAACTACTCTACAACACTGTCCATTAATATCTTCTAAAGTTGGGCAAATGAACAAGCAATTTTAGTCCTAGATAGATGTTAAACAAAAATGTATGCTCTTATCAAGTGACAAGTACTAAACTATTTACATTGGAAGTGTTTGAAAGAACCTAAAAAAAAAAAAAAATTGTGGCATATTCACATAAAGGAACACTATGTGTAATAAAAAGGAGCTACCAACATTTGTTGCAAGATCAAGGACAAAACCACAAACATAATGCTGAAGAGACCAGACCCAACAGGGTACATACTCAACAATTCCATTTACGTAAAGTTCAAAAACAGGCAAAGTTAATCTAGGCTACCAGAAAAGTGTTGGGCCTATGGTTACTAACAGAGACCATGAAAGGCTTTTCAGATGCTAATAATGTTCTATTTCTTGATTGATATGCCAGTTACACAGGTGTGTCAGGTTTGTGAAAATTCATTAGAGTAAAACAAAAGTTTACTATAACATGACAAAACTTAGTGGTATAAAAATCATAAAAATTTTATATTCAAGAAATTATAAGTATAGGTTTAGACTAATTAACAGTAGTTTAAATACACAGATTAACAAATTTTTAACTTTCTACTGGTGTGTAGTAGAGATCAATACTTACAGTAAATTTGGCTCTTTCTTCCATTACCTCATAACCCAGTATAGTAGGTGTAGATGGTCTATCTTCCCAATTCACTGTTTCACGACTTTGTTCTTCAATTTCTCTTGGTCTAGTAGAATACTCAATGGATGAATCTGTACCTGTAAATTTAGTCCTAACGAGAGGACTGTTACAGACAGATGAAGTACTATCTATATGATCAGGCACACTTGTCTGTTTACAATTACCCATATTTGAATCTTCTAATTGGCCTCTGGAAGAGTTTGAGCTTGTTGAGATACTGCCAAATGAAGAACTCCTTTGATTTCTGTTGGCTGTAAAACTGGAAGCAGAGGTTCCTATGGGCATAGGAACTGGGACATAAGGAGTTGCCATCCTCTTTTGGCCTTTGCAATAAACTTGTACACTGTTGAGTCCAAATACTCAGAGAACAACTAATATGCAATCCATTATTTTCTTCTTAGGAATTCACTATCTAAAAAATGAGAAAGACATATTGATAGTTTAGTCCTGGAGCATAATCCCAAAGAAAGCAAAATGTTCTTTTCAATTTTGTGACACTTTCATTTTAACTGAAAGCACACCTCAAAATATTTCCTTTGATCTCAATTCTCTAAGGGCTCTTGTTCTCAAGGTAAAGAGAGCAAAACCACTCCATATCCCCTTTCTTAACCCTCATGCTACATTTCATCCGTTTTTCTTATTTATTTTCTGGTGAAGTATTTCTGTAATGTTCATTTTGCTCTGACTTGATCCCCAGCACCCCCCACCCCAATAAGAATTAAAGGAGAAAGAACAGTAAAGACCTTCCTGAAGCTGTATTGTAGGCTTTTCATCCTAATAATACTTTAAGTACTTTATATAGTATAGGAAAAAAGGAAAGAAGGGGGATGTTTAGACACATTACCTTTTGATTTAATTAGTGAAATTCTAAGAACTTACAAAGTAATAATATTGAGTCAGAAGCTTAGATGCTGTGTGGTAACTACAACTCTTAAAAATAACATTTTATAAAACCCATGATAGAATGTATTTTAAGAATAAACTCGATCAAATAAATTAAATAAAACCCAAAGAATATTAAACTTATATTCAACAAGATTAAAGTTTGTTTCACATTTTTTTCAGGTCACCTATAATTTTGCTTTGTAAGAAAATTAGAGTACTTAACAAATCTTTAAAACTCATACTCTGTAATGTATCTCATCCAAAGAACCAGTATTTCTTTTATCAGAATAATATCCTAACACTACTTAGTGCTTTATCATTATTAAATAACAAACTCATATAAGAAATTTAATAACTATAGACCAACAAAATGACTATGCATAACAATGGATCTGCCTGCCCAACTTCATCTAAGCAAATCCACTAGTGAAAAAGGTAGGAAGAGTCCCCTGGACTTGTAAAGATGCTGAAACAAGATTTTTTTTTTAACTCAGCACGTGGCTCTGGGCAACCATCCCTACTATAAGAATTTCGAAACTTGAGCTGCTGATTCACAGGTCCCTGGTTCCGCTTGATGACCTACCCCAAAAGAAGTAAATAAGTGTGATATCTCAACCTTCTCAAGGCCTGTGGGATCGCCCTGCCTTTTGCGGGAGCTACCTGAGGCCGCCAGGCTGGGGCAAAGAAAGATATCAACACAATCACTGACGTCCAAAGAACTGAGAACTGCCCAAGCGTTAGGAAGACTTCTTGTGCTCATTAAGAGCGTCTTCACTTTTGTTCTTGCTTGGAGATACTCCCTAGAAGGTTCATCTCAGTCTCACCTCGGGCAGGTGAGGTGGTCGGGGCAACTTGGTATGTGAGAGGAGTGGGCGGAGGGAAGAACCTGGGGTCGATCTACCCTAGCATCGGGTCTGCGCGGGTCTTAGGGCTTTTGGCTCCGTGGGTAGTAAGACTTGCAGCTCTAGGAGGTACCTGGCGACCCCAGACCCTCCCGCCTCTGCCGCCTGGTGCGCGCGCGACCAGAGCCTCCCAGGGACGCCGAGGAGTCGGGGTTGTACTGACCAATAAGGGGTTGGAGTGCGGGGGAAGGGGGCTCTAAGGCGTCTCTCCACCCTCGGGCGCCACCCGCCAGTCATCCAGGGTGCAGGTGTCACTCGCAAGAGAGACCAGGACAGCGCCCACCGCCCACTCCCTACCTCAGCGCACTCGGTGATCTTGCTCGAGCGTGCTTCCCGGTGACGGTTAAACTGGACTATTCCTAACTTCAGCTTCTCGCCTCCTCCCACAGCACTGAGCTGCCTCACGTGACCGTCCGCCCTGATAGTAGTGGCTCCTAGCCGCTCCAGCCTCGGCCGGGCCACTGGGCCCAGGACCCAGGAGAGGTGGAGGGAGGGACTGGCCTGGGACGCCGATCCCGGAAGTGACGTCACCACAGGCACCGCCCCCGGAGGCGCGGGTGGAGCTGTCTGCTGCTGGTTCATTAGTAGATGGGTTAAATCTAATCTTGTGACAGGACATCTACACTCTCAACCCTATCTTTATTTTTCCGAAGTGAACTTCTGAGAAAAGGAGCTGCGATACCTAGTTTGCCCCGCAGGTGATTAGATTTCAAGACCCATCAGGAGCTAGGACCGCACTCCTGCTTTGCATCATGGGACATGTAGTCCTCACCAGCTTGGGCTAGTTCTAATAGGTTATTGATTGTTTCCAGAATTAGCAGAGCTTTAAGGGATGACAATTGATTTGAAGAGTGGAAAGATAGAACACTGAAATTTTATATATCTGTCCTACTTAATTCAGAAATCCTTGATGGTAGAAACCCCTAAATTCTTCAACATGTTTTTCCCCCATCTGGGAACAGTTTATCACAAATGATACAATATATTAGGCCTGCTAGAATTGTTAATGTGAAAACTAAGGTTATCAGGAAAGCCATTCTTTGATAATTAAATCGCAAGATTCAGACGGCTGTACAGGACTGTTCATCACTAGAGATGTGCAATTGGATTTAAAGATTATTCCATGATTTCTCGGTCTTTGGAGCAGTACCAAGAGTGGGAAAAATTGATAGTGGTAACTTCAAAATGAATGTAGAAAGATAACCTATAGCATAATGATGGTTTTGGTTTGAGAGATATTTTACTTTCAGTATGAAGAAACATAAAAATAGAATTCTATAGAAACAGGGTACTAAGTTTTTTTAGTTTTCAGGATACACTTGGCAGTCTTGACCTCAGATGGCAATTATATCCTTCACTTACTTAAGTTAGTAAGGTAAGAGAAAAACAAAGGAAGGAAAAAACCTTGTAATATTTTTCTCAGTTATGAATGGGGCTGCAGGTGGTAGCAAAAAAATTCCTGTAATGAGGTATAGTTCAGTATGTAGGAAGCCAAGGAAAATTAAACTTTTGGGAAGTAAGAGCATACAGATACCACAGTTAAAAGTAGTATAAAGATCTGGAAAAGATCATTGAAATTGTCCAAGAAGAACTTTTTATTTTTTTAGTACTGGGGATTGCACCCAAAAGGACTTAATCACCAAACTACATCCCTAGCCATTTTTATTTTTTATCTTAAGACAGGCTTAAGGCCTTGCTAAGTTGCTAAGGCTGGACTCAAAATTGTGATCCTCCTGCTTCAGCCCCTGGAACTGCTAGGATTACTGGCATGGGCCACTTCACCCATCAAGAAGAACTTTCTTCACAGATTATTGAGTGAAGCATAACAGACTATCATACTGCATGCTTTATCTTCTAGAATATCTGTTATTGACAAATGTCTACATTTTACTTTCAAGAAATAACTAAGTAGCTGTAGTAATTAATGAAGAATATCCTGTGGTTGGTCAAAGTGAAAGTTCCTGCATTATCACAGACCATATTTGATAGCTACTCCCTATATTTGAAATTTTTTAGTTAAGCTTATGGATACTTCTACATAGTATCCACAATCAAATTGAATTGCTTATATTTTGACTTATGGAATAACAAAATGTTATTTTTCTTCCTTCACTGTTTAATTTTACATAAATTATATATCCCTGGAAAGCCATTTTGAGCTCACCCAAGATATCATTTTATACAATGATATGTAGTTTTTGATAACTGAAGTGGGGTTACAGGAAGGAAGAGGTAAAAATTACAGCAGGAAAAAAATCATATGCAGTAGATGAAGTGACTTCCTAGATCCAAACATTTCCCCTTCTCAGGAATTGGTATTTATTTTGTAAGGCTGGGCCTCTGGTTGCCATGTTCATAATATGTCACTCTTGGAAAAAAATTTTTCATTATAGTTCATTGTGCCAAAGTGGAACATTTGACCCAAGTTGTGTCCAATAGGTGCTGTTTCCTAGGAATGAAAATTTGGGCGGTTCAGGAGGGAGGTTGGAAGGCACAGGAAGTAAAATCAGAATAAAGGAAATTTTGTGATGAGAAGGTACATGGAGTTCTACTGCTAAATTCCCTGGAATTAATCTGATCTCTCTGCATGCTTTACATTCCTTGGACTCTATGAGATAACCTAGTGTTCTTTCAATATATTAGCTTTTTGATTCAATGTAGCCGGAGTTGGTTCTTCTGACTGAAACCAAAAATACAACTAAAACACAATGAGGAAACTGAAAATGAATAGTAGATATCTACAAAATGCCTTTCTGGCTTTTGCAAATAGCTGTCAACAATTTGTAGTCTAAGGTTTTAAAATAAAGTATGGCGTTTCATAATCTGATGTGTGTTTATAAGTTAAAAATTCCTCAATTACAACTACAGTTATGTAGGTATAACTTCATTAATTATTTTGGTTTCACTTTATATATTCCCTAATTCATGCATTTTGTTTTCTATAGGCAGTGTTTCTTTAATCTTAATATTTAGTATCTGTATTCCACTTTCCCTCTAATTCCTCACTGCCATGAAAGTGAGAGTACAGAGAAAGACCCACTAATGATCTATTTTTAGAGTTAAGGGAGGTAACCAAAGTAGTAACATGATAACATGACAGCTGAATTTATCTCAATGAACCTGTGACCTATATATTTCCAAAATCTAGGGTAGGAATATATGGCATTTATAATAGCACAGAAATGACACTCTTCAATACTGCCCATTGATTAGTGATCTTTGACTCATATATTTATTACATAAAGAAAGTTTTGACAGCATGTTTGGAAATCCTGGGTACATAAAAAATGTGATCAGAATTATTCCTGGAGATCACAGTCATAATCTCAGAACTGAAAGGAAGTATCATGACCATAAGGATAAAACTCCATTTTATAGCTAAGGATTCTGAGGAAAACGGAGGATAGGGCATCTGCCTGAGGTCATAGAGCCAGTGAATCCTTGTTAGTAAACTAGTTATCCTCTTAGCATACACAATAAGATACCATTCCCTAAGTACTTTTATACTCTGTCAAGTCCTATGTGTCTTTCAACTTTCCAATATATAGCTTCTGGTATATTTTCAGTTGGTGTTTGCTACCTGGGAAGTCTTCCTGGATTTTATATATGAGAAAATGCCTGCACTAGGCCTTTGAAGGTCAGTAGGAATTGGATAAGTAAAGAAGGAAGGTGGAGCACATCAGGCAAAGTTGAAGACTTGAGAGAGAGAACATAGCAGAGGTGGGGTGTTGTGGGACCATTAAGAGACAGTCTGATTGTTCAGAAAAAAGGGATATTAGGAAATTGCTAGAAATAAACATGAGCTTCTCCTTATGTCAAAAGTCCATCTCAAATATAATCACATCAGCAGTACCTTTCTGTTTCTCTCAGATGGTATTAAATAAACCCGTTCTCTATGACACTACTGTACTTAATTCATGAATGGAGAAAATTATTACTTTATATAATAAGTACTTATTTATCTGTACAACCTAAGGGGCAAGATCATGTATTAGACATCTATGTGCTGATAGTAACTTGTTTTGCTATCTGAATGAGGTATAGTCCCCACAATTATTATTGTTTTACAAATAGCTCCCTGTACTTATTCAAGTTCACTGCAAGATCCCTTGGGCATTGCATTTTCAACTCCTAGTTTAGAGAATAAAATCCAAATACTTTGAGTAGGCCTGTATGCTCCTTCATGAACTGACTTCTATGGCCTTATTTTCTTCAGAATAATTAGTCAGCTAGTTAATCAATTAACTAGCCATTTATTAAGGACGTGCCGTATGCAATAAACGTCAAAGTCCAGCTGTACCAGTTATTTCTCAGTCTGAGTCTTTTTTTCCCTCTTTCCAGCATTTGATACTTTTGCCTGTAATTCTCCCTCATTCTATTTAACAGGCTTAGGTGTAGGCGACGTGCTTTCCAAAACAGTGTCCTCTCTCCCTCCACCATGTCCTCAGAGACCTCTCTGCAAGCCTCTGCTACCAACTTACTCCCATTGTATATCATCACTTCCATGTCTGCTTCCTTGACAAGAACAAGAGCTTCTTGGGGCTGAGACAGGTTCTTTTTCTTTTTCTATGCTGGCTGGAAGAATCTCTGGCACAGAGTGTGGCTAAATTGCATGAGTAAATGAATGAATAAAATTTTTTCATTTGTTCAACATGGTGGTTTAATACAAGTAAATATAAACACACACATTCTTTGTGGACTTATGCTTTGAAGAAATGTTAAATGGAAGCTCACTGTATAAAACAAATGCAAGTGAAGCAGCTGTGGTTGGAAAGAAAGGATTTCTTTAATTACTGAGTTATTTGTAAACCATTGGACTAAATAAATTATTTCTAATGTCCAGTTCAAATCTAACACTTTATGAGTTTATATCTATTACTTGAGACCTGAAGTAGAAATCAAAACAAATACCATAGTCTAGTTAGCAGCACAAAAATCCATAAAAGGCATTAGGCAAAGCAAAAACAAAATTAAAACAACAAAGAGCTAAACTCCTGAAATTATACAAACCAGTGAATCAGACATTATTGTATATTTAAGTCTTTGTCTTAAATAAGTTTGAGACATGCTGAACTCCTGGTATGTGAGTAAAGAATGAAATCTGTCATCTGAATTCCTAGTGCCAGGTTTTACAGCATCTGGATTTGCAAGAGACCCTTGCGAAGATGCAAGAAAGTTTCAAGGTAAAAAGCAGAGCCTTGAGGGACAATAAATCTTCAGTCAACACCATGATTCCTGCTTGTCCTAGGCAAGCCTGATACCTTCTCAAGGGGGACTTAAAACATTGTTCTACACCTAAGTCTTTTGTTTGGGTTACCTCTGATTTTTTTTCATCTGTATGGGGTAACAATAGTCCTTTCCCATGGGATTGT